TGAAGGTCATGTATTTTGTGACGTCACCAATTCGTGTGTAGGTACGGCTTCTTGATCCGTGCCTAAATTTTCAGTAGTCTTCTCTAGTGTGTATCAATAAAAAATCTGGCAATTGTATCATCACTTCACTGTTAACTAACAACCTGTGTTATGTTTTTAATACTGCAATTGGCTTTAAATTAAATCATAAATAAATATTATATCTACAGTATAACAACCTGCAATAGACAATATTCGGGGTCAATCCTTTTTATCACTAACTCACCCTTAAAGCAAATGGGTTGTTACCTGCACACATGCTAGAATTTGGTCCTAAGCATCGAAAACAATGCGTGATGAAATAGGCAATGGCTTATTGGCAGACACTAATTTGTGACATGGCTATGTGTTGTATGCGTATGTATGACTGCCCTGCTTCAACACATTTCCTGCAGATGTCTTCTCTTCCTATTCATTTTTAGATATCCATGGAAGTTTTTGGCAGGTGTTGTGTTAATCATGTTTTGTACCTACCTCAAGAAAAGTACTATTCCAGAGTCTCGATCTAATTCTAACCACAGTGGAATCACCGCTTGCCAATGGTCCCGTAAAACAATCAAATGTGAAGCACCTAGCAGTCCCGTGTTGGCATGACTAAAATAGAAATACAACAAATCAACAGGCTTAATACAATGGCAGGAACTAGCAACTTGAAACAATTTTTTTTTTCATGAACGGTATTAAACAATCACAACACAACAATTCCTTGCAGAACAATTCAAATGGAAAGCTAGGAAACTAATAAGCTGATATTGAACGCATGTGATAAGAGTCAAGCGTATTACATACTAAAGTTTCTATTCTGCCAGTCTTTTCACCAGTTGGACCGATAATATCATGGCTTGGAGCCACATCACGTTTTCGCCTAGTACTAGCAGGTAACTCGTCTGGCGAGTATACTATACTTTCATCTTTATTTTTCTGAAAAAAAATTACAATTTAGTATTTGTATTGATACATTGATGATTAATAATGTTGAGTTTAGGTTGATCCAGACATAAAAACTTAATCTTCTTACCTTCACATCCAAGAAATTAACATACATGGGATCAATAGTACAGTTTCCTTCGCCATCAAGCTCTGGATAGTCAGTCATGTACAGTAGCCACTTTCCGCTCGCCACTTCATATGGCCAAGATATAGTTATGTGTGCTACTTCTACTGTGCCGGGTCCCTTGTTTTTGAGCTGAAACCGAAAGCAAGTCTCAAAGTGTCAACTAATTTACTCAGCAAGCATAACTGTGTTATAGCTACTGTATATATTTTGATATTCAAGTACTGTGTCATAAGTATAGTAACTTTCCACTTAAGTGTGCTGTATTACTGACATGTACCACTGTGGCTACTAGAGTGCGCTGTATTACTAACATGTAGTTTTGTGGCCACTAGAGTGTGCTGTATTACTGACATGTAGTTTTGTGGCCACTAGAGTGCGCTGTATTACTGACATATACCACTGTGGCCACTAGAGTGCGCTGTATTACTAACATGTAGTTTTGAGGCCACTAGAGTGCGCTGTGTTACTAACATGTAGTTTTGTGGCCACTAGAGTGCGCTGTATTACTAACATGCAGTTTTGAGGCCACTAGAGTGTGCTGTATTACTAACATGTAGTTTTGTGGCCACTAGAGTGTGCTGTATTACTGACATGTACCACTGTGGCCACTAGAGTGTGCTGTATTACTAACATGTAGTTTTGTGGCCACTAGAGTGCGCTGTATTACTAACATATACCACTGTGGCCACTAGAGTGCGCTGTATTACTAACATGTAGTTTTGAGGCCACTAGAGTGCGCTGTATTACTAACATGTAGTTTTGTGGCCACTAGAGTGTGCTGTATTACTAACATGTAGTTTTGTGGCCACTAGAGTGTGCTGTATTACTGACATATACCACTGTGGCCACTAGAGTGCGCTGTATTACTAACATGTAGTTTTGAGGCCACTAGAGTGCGCTGTATTACTAACATGTAGTTTTGTGGCCACGAGAGTGTGCTGTATTACTGACATGTACCAATGTGGCCACTAGAGTGCGCTGTATTACTGACATGTACCACTGTGGCCACTAGAGTGTGCTGTATTACTAACATGTAGTTTTGAGGCCACTAGAGTGCGCTGTATTACTAACATGTAGTTTTGAGGCCACAAGAGTGTGCTGTATTACTAACATGTAGTTTTGTGGCCACAAGAGTGTATATCTTTTCCCTCAGTTCGATAGTATAGAGGGAAAATACTGTCTTCAATGTTACGGTGACAGTAATTGATCAGATGGGTGGGGCAATCAGATAGGGAATAGCGGGAAGCAGTAGGAAGTTAGTCAGTCTAGTCAGCAACTCAGCAGCTCACAGACGTTCAAGTTCAATTACATCAAATATTTAAACGTTCGCTTT